TCTGCACTAAAAAAATAGGGGTGTTTTCAGCAAAAAACGAATAACCCTGGAATACACACAATATACTGAATTTCGGAACAAATCGTGCATTACTTACAGCAGCAGAATACCACAGAAATATCAGACGAAACATGAAAACACTATATATTGTATTTCAGCTTGAACCCTCTATATTGCAATTCAAGGAATTAACCCCATATGTGCATCCATTTCCCACCTTGGTATCACCCACCCCTGAAAACAAACTCTTAATACCACGCTGAAGCGTTTGGTAATAAGATCCAAAACAGCTGGCTGCTTCTCGTCCCAGAAAAACATTTAAATGTTGCGGTTTAATTTTCCATGATTTAATACTGCAACATTATGTATGTGGAACGCTCAACATTTAACATCTGAAGCAGAAAGCAAACATTTCATTGCTCCATTCTAGGTGGCGCACTTCGCCGGTATGTGAAATTGCCCCAGCAAAATGCGCAAAGCGTAGACACCAAACTAACACGCGGGGTGACGAGAAGCAAAACGTTCTTGCATTACCAATTTATATCACACTGAATATATTCTATTACCACATCATGAATATGCATCGTGTAATCTGAGGAATACGTTCTCGAGGAGGTTTTGCACCCAGAACGTGACTTGCACATATGGTGACATGTCAGTAAATGTGCTTCTATATGACATTTCTGAAAAATGAACAAAGAGGACCCAAATATAGTCGCAGGAAATTGTTGTCCAAATTTTTAAAATTTGTTCAGGATTACTTCAAAGATGAGTTTGTGTTGTTTTCTCGAATTTTCACCGGCTCGACCGGCGTTCCACAGCAGCGCGCACAGAGCCCATAGAAATGCATGTACAGTGGTGCGCGTCTTAGCAACGTGGGACGTCTTGTGACGTAGCTCCGCCCCCGAGGATACTTAAACTGAGCAGGGAGGCCTATCTAATCACTATTCTCCTTTTTTACAGAACACATCGGAACTATGGCTTTTCGATGGAAAAAGACAAAATTTGCTGTCACTTGTCTTTATTTACTCATAATTATCAACTTTTTGGTGCTGTTTTATTACGTGCATTTCTCCACCTCAGAACAGAAATCAAAATTTGGTGGAAGAATTATATCAGAAGCTAAAGTCATCCTAAGAAAAGAATTCCTGAGAAAAATATACGAGGATGGAGAAATTATTGGTGCTGCGGACTTTGATAATAATGTTGTTTTAATGTCTAGAGAATCAGAGGAGAAACAAAAAGCGGAGAAAATAATTCAAAACTATGTTATTGGTAATCATAAAGAAGAAATTTTGGCGGAAAATGAATTGTTTGAAGATGATACAGTTCCTAGAAATGTCATTGTGGCTGAAAATGAACTGAATGAAGATGATACAGTTCCTATACAGACCGATAGTCTGTCCGTGCATATTGACAATAATGCCCTCAATGGTGAAAACAGTGAAAGCCTGAATACCGAGGATAAACATTATTATGTGAAATATTTAGAAGATGAGCTGCATGATAGCGTATTAGCCATGTCGATCAGAGGAAAATTGCAGTTACCAGTTGAAGAAGTGCAAAAGAGGATCTTACCGTTGACTAATCTTCTGACCAATCACGAAGGCGCTTGTCGTAATTTAAAAGGCATTTCATTGGTCACCTTTGTGACGTCATTGCCGGAAAATGTCGAACAAAGAGAGACTATAAGGAACACGTGGGGTAAAGTGTTAAAAGAACGCTATAATGCGGCAGTAATGTTCGTAATTGGTGTGAGTTTAGATGACGATATTGATATCAGGAGTGAACACGTTTATTCTCAAGATATTATTCAAACAAGTTTTTTAGATACCAGCAAGACCCGTATACTAAAAACAATTACTATGCTGAGATGGATTACAGAGTTCTGTGCAAATGCGAAATTTATTTTGAAAACAAACGATGCCACTTTTATACAACCCGAGATTCTTTTTTCGGAGCTTGGGCACGTGAATGATTCAAAGATAGTAATTGGAAGGGCTCTTGCTGGAATACGCCCGCAACGAGATCCCAATAAACATACTTTCGTTTCTATTGATACATGGCCTGAGTCTAGATACCCAGTATATCTGGAAAATCCAACGTATATCTTGTCTGGGGATGTTGCTCATGAACTATATGTAGTTGCCATGGAAACTCACCTATTTCCACATGATGATGTTTACCTTGGAATACTTCTTCATGGAATTGATGTGGAGCTACGTGAGTCAGCCAGGATCGACCCAAGAGGAGTAACACGGTTTATTTGTGATGTTTCTAATGCATTGTCTATAAGCTCTCTTAACAAAAACACAATAGAAACATATTGGAACACATTGGAAGTATATCCAGGAATTTGTAAAGATGATGAGACTTTTGAAGAGAAACAACTCTATGTACAGAATCCCTACTATCAGTGTGCACAGGCTTCTCTCACTCGGAAGACAGTGCTCCTTTTTCTGATATTCAGTGATGCTGTTAACGCCCCGCAAAGATATTCCATAAGAGACACATGGGCGAACTACAATCAGATGAATCTGAATAATGCAATAACTATCTTTGTCATCAGAATGCCCAAAAATAAGATATTAAAGGCGTCAGTAGAAGTGGAGAACCATGAATTCGCAGATATTCTCGTTTTGTCAAATAATCTTGGGAAGATTGATATCATTTTATCTGCCTTACAGTGGGTTAAACGTTTCTGTTATACTGTCAGTTTTGTTGTCAGAGTAGAAGACGATGTCATATTTCTGTCAAATAATTTGTTGAAAGTTTTAGAAATGATCCCGAATAAACGACTAGCCCTTGGTGATGTACGTGAACGTGGAGAACAGTTATTCCATAGAAAGGGGAGTCAATGGGTTCTAGACAGTCATCCTAGTCCGTCCTTAAAATATATTGACTCGCATGCATATGTTATATCCTATGACCTTATCGGAGACATTTTGCACATTTCTGAAAACTACAAAATGATCAATGTCAGTGAGGAATCCTATTTTGCAAAAATATTCAATGATTTAAATATTAACCTTGTGCATCATCCTGGATTTGATAGTCGTGGTCAGCTTAGACATCTCTGTGATTTGAACCGAGCAATCACATCAAGATACATGTCAAGTACTGATGACATGATGTTCAAATATTGGAAAGGCATCAACGAATGGGCGCCATTGTTATGTCACAGTGTAAACTTAGGAAGATCAATTATGATTGGTGGAGGAAGCAAAGTCAGAGAATCTAATGTACAGTTCAGTCCGCATGACTATGTTTACCTGATAAATGAACCTGAGAAGTGTTCTGTGTTTGACAGCACTCAAGAGCTTACCATATTGTTGGGGATCGTATCCAGGGCACGAGAATCACAAATTAGGCATATCATCCGTTCTACCTGGGGGAGCAAGTATCACCATGGTAACGTGAGGGTTGTTAGCGTGTTTATGATTGGCACAGAGAGTAATGGTGAAAATAAAATTGCAGAAGAATCTTATTTATATGGTGACATAATACAAGAGAACATCAAAGAGAACTACAAGAACTTAACTCTCAAAACGATAATGTTATTGAAGTGGGCATCTACGTATTGTACACGTGTTGATTACGTCATCAAAATCGACACAGATGTGTTCCTCAACGTTGATAATATGGTGGAACTGCTGAAATATGCCCCGAGAACGTCATTCTATCTTGGGGAGACAAAGGTTGAGACCCACCCTATTAGACAGCCACGGAGTAAGTGGTACACCCCTGTAGATGCCTGGATTGAGTCTACTTATCCCCCATATAATGATGGCCATGCCTATGTTATGTCTATAGATGTTGTCCAAAAAGCATACCACGCATCGATGACGTCAGTTTTATTTCCTTGGGAGGATGTCTACATTGGTAACCTCCTAGCAAATTTTGGAGTAGCTCCTCTACCTCATAAACGTTTTGATCGGATGAATTTCTACAAGAGGGCCTGTGACTTGAGGCATTGTCTCACCTCTCATGGATTTGATCCAATGCGAATGTTTTACAGTTGGTCATATCTGGAAAAATGCAACACCGATCCCAATGGATGTATCTGCAATAATAAGCAACCAGGACACGTGACATTCAATGACCTATCATGGAATAACAAGAAGAACATACGCCACCCGTCAGATTGTCTTCAAAGTGACAATGCTGACACATTTCTTCTCGTCGTTGTCATGACATCTTCAGTCAAATACTCCTCTCGGATGATGGCACGCCTGTCGTGGGCGATGCCTAAGTCGGTAGATGGGAAAAGGGTTCAAATCGTGTTTTTAGTGGGCTCTACTGAAGACGTTTATCTTCAAACGTTCATATTTAATGAAAACATTGTCGAACAAGATATACTTGTAGGGAGATTCCCAGAGCATAACTCGGCAAAAGGATTTTCTGAAATGCAGCAATTTGCCATTCAGTGGTCATCTCAATGCGGATTTCCCGAATATATGATGTTTGTGACAGAGGACATGTTTGTAAACGTTGACAATGTAGTAAGATTTCTGGTCAATGATGCTGTTTCATCGCCATTGGATGCACCATCGGGGCTTGTGTATCACTGTATAGGTAGCTTCTGTAAATGTAAACAGCATGATTATCCTGATAGTGTAAACTCTGTTAGTATTCTGTCCCACCAGACACTGAGAAAATTAGTAAGATATATGCAACACTTGAGGCAGGAACCCGCGCTGAAACAAACATACGATTTAGTTGAAATGTATCAGCTGGTGAATGTTTCTGTGAGAAGTCCGCATGCTTTTGATGTTAGAGGGCGCTATATGTACCGTCACTCAGGCATGTGCAAGTTACATCAAGTATTGGTGGCGTCACACTTCACTACCCACCAGTCCGTTGTTGCTCAGTCATTCCTAGATGAGTCTTACTACGCATGCGCAAACTATTTACGCGACCAAGAAAAAGCCATTGGCAGCAGTGTTTGCACGGCTCATTTGAATTAAAGATTCAATCGACTGTTTAACCATATATTCTATTTTTTGTATTACTGATAGAATGTGTTATTATATAAATATTAAAAACATTTTGTCGTCACACAGCGTGGTGCTAGGTAGGGAAAATAAAGACGTATACAACGCGTTCTGGAAAGAACATTGTCTGTCAACACAAAATTCGAACGCCCTGCTCGAGAACTACCGTTCTATTATACAATTAGTATTCAATACTAAAGTAGTGGTTTATTGACAAATTATCTTCCGTTGTTATTCTTATATATATAATTATACGATCGATGATGATTTAATATGTAAACGTTGCCGTGCTATACTGAAATAAACTTACTTGTAATGACGTATATTTGATTATGTTTACGTAAGATCGGCGCTGTATAAACTATAAATACAAAAACTTTAAAGCGGGAGGGTCGGCACCTGTGCACGCGCGGGAATTGAGTCCCAGGCCGCGACGATAACAACACACGCTGCAAACGCAAAGGCTCACGGGTAGACGCTTGTATGTAAACAATGACACGCTGGCGCATGCGCAGGTGACGACACCCCGCTTTAAATCGTCTCGTCATATAACATCATATACCACTAAACAATTCCCCAACTAGACACGGCCCCTTTGAACACAGTGATTTGTGCATAGATCACCCAGTGGGGGGGGTGCAGTAACACTGCTGTGCCCACCGTGTAAAGCATTATTGGAGTACATTTGAAATTAGTTATCGGTAGAAATATTGCATTCGAGTACATTTTGATATCAACTACCAATACCTATTCCGCCACACTGGTTGATATCGACATCTACATCCAGTATGCAATCAAATGTGACGATGAAACAGATAGGAATTGTTAAGTTTGGGGTTTGATACACTGTGAAACACTTTATTTTAGATGAAATTTTCGCTGAAAAGGCTTTTTGGGTGTTTTGTATGGAATTTATTTTTACTGATTTTTCATTTTTTTAATATAAAATACAGCAAAAAGGTATATTCGCTGGATTTTATTTTCACCGAATCATTCCTTCAGCGAAAATAGCGGAAATGAATTCCAAGAGAAAATAACGTATTTTACAGTATGTTTCCTTGTAAACGTTGTGTCTTATGCAAATTAACTCATGGTAGCCGTTAAAAGAGTGAATTCGCACAAGCACATATACCGTGATCGTCTATTTCATCATATCTTCGCAATTCCATTCTTTATTGTTTGTTTGTTTATTTGATATGTAGAAGTTGGCATTTGACACTCGTCAAAATGCAAGTACACAGAAACAAAAAACAAAATGGAAAAGCAATGTCACGCAGGCCAGCCTGTTCTTTTACGTTATACAACTGACCCTGCCTAAAAGTAGTAGGTCATGGCGGAAAATACGCCCGTGTAACAGACGATTATTTTTCCGATAATAAAATAGAAATCGGTTGATATTTTACGTCGTTTACTGGCCTGGCTGTGGCGGATGTTAGGTTAGCACGACACCCTTGTCACGACTCCGAAGAATAATAGCTCCTTGTGGTGAGGAGAATGCTAATTCCTGGTTATCAGTAATCACGTGGTCATAGACTGACCAATAACATTTTCTTATTAATCATACAATATCACAAATATAATTCTTAATATATACTATTATCGAACAATTAAATCTTACAAGTAGCAACAATTAAACTCAATATCGTTTTGGGGACTTTATTACGAATACCGGAAGAGTGGGAAATGTGTGTAACCAAGGCAACTATGACTAATTGTCGGAAATAACCGCAGGTGCATCCGTTTCGACTACCTATATTGTAACAATCACGAGCGCTCAAGCCAATGCGCGTGGATATATGGCTACATTTTAATATTTAAAAAATCACAATAAAGATTGTACTTTTACTGAGCGTGACTTGCCGTGGCCCCGGACGATATCGGGATGAACTGGTTTGGGATAACAGTACAGTGAATGCTTGGATATTGTGGCAAGTGCAGACATGTAACAGCATATGCATTGCATTTACTTTATTATTAAGTTTGTTATATATTGGGACTATTTTCTTCGTATTCCTGAAGATGAATTCGACTTATTTTATTTGCGTTGCTATGGCAGTGGTACTACTAAATCAGCCAATGGTTTATACAGGTAAGAACTAGTCTAGTAGTTTTACGAAGCAAAATTATTTGTTTTGTTCGTACATTTAACAAACTCCATCAACAAATGTACATCAACAAATGCCTCGTCTAAGTATTCTTATTTCATAACAGTAATTGAAGTACAATTTTGTTTAAATTAGTGAGATACATAAAAAAAAAACACAAGCGCGCCAGCTATCATAATAATTGAGTTGGTTTAGAAAACATAACATTTACCTAGCACTTAAATATTTCCCAAATGTGAAAGAAAAACCACAATTAACTAAAATTAAAAAATCAGTCATTTTGTTGTTATCTCGAAATTTACAACCAGCAAAAATAGCGGCCATTTTGAAAAGTCAAGGTATTTTAGCTTAGCTTGTAAATTGAGTTTTCTCACAATGATGACGGAATGACGTCACGGAATGTAGAATTTGCTTATTCTGTATAAATTACCATTTGTGATTTACCGTCCTAACTGGGTTATTTGGTTTGAAGAGGCAATATGGATAACTTTTAATATATTTTGAACATTTTATTCATTATATTGCATCTTAAGATTACGATTGAGGTATGATTTTCCCATAAAAAACCTTGTTTTAACAGCAAACATCGCAGTATTCTCTAATCTAATACGCACGCGTCACGTATTCACCAGTACGTACATTTAATTAAAAACTCATTTGTTCACTATTCCATCGAGCTGATACTGATATGTTTGCAACAGACACATTATGTTACGATAAAGAATACCCTAATATTGTTTTTCAAAATGCAATATCAGACAACATTTTTTTTTACAAATGCTTAAAAATACTTCTTCGCATTGCCGCTTTATATTTTGACAACACATATTACATAGCCCTGTTGTATTCATTGTCACAGTGCTGCGTGATCGGTGATAAATAATAAAAGTGAAAACATAAAATGTCTCACAAAAAATATTTGAGACGATTAAATAGTACACCGAAATGAGATGAAATTGAAGTGTTTCCCAGTGACATTATTGTTTTATTGTTTTCAAATTACCATTTCCTTCAATTCAGATATGTCTACAGAAAGCCTTGTTTCCTGTCAAGATGGCTGGGCACAGAGATCACTCAACTGTTACCAAGTGAATGAAAACACACTGTCATGGAGTGACGCACGCAGTGCATGCCGGGAAATCACTGGAGCAGACCTTGTTTCATTTGATTCATTGGAGGAAAGAAAGTGAGAACAAGTATACCATGTCTCTTTGTGGAAACAATCTAACCAGTCGAAATACCAATTATGAATTATAGTTGTCCCATAGCCCCTGCAATAAATCGACAGTGGAGTGACTCTGGGGATATGCATGTATTCTAACATTCGCCGTAGTAGATTAGTGATTCAAAAAAAATGCGGTTTGTGCGGTTATCACTCTGACTCGCGTACAATAAATGGGACAAGAAAAGACAATAGTCACAATCAATGTCGCCTGAAAAAAATGTTTGGATTATCGAATGAGCGCATATACCAACGAAATAGAAAACGATGATCTTGTGTTTATTCCATTATTTTGAAATTAAAATAGATTTATTTCCTGTTTTCTATTGCAGTATTGTATCCGAGCTTATAATGCCTCCATTTCCCAATGTCTATCTCTGGATTGGAGTTACCGGTAATTACCAGGGAGACTTGATCTATAACTGGGTTACTGGTCACATGGTACCTGGCAATATACAAGGGTGGGAACAAGGACAGCCGGACAACGCAGCAGGTGAGCATGCGCAGAATTCCTATCTGCTTTTATCAATAATATATATATATATATATATTATGGTAGAGGCCAATACATTTCATCGACATTTAATTCTGTTTTACTAAGATTTCAATGTAAAACAAATTTAGGTCATGATAGTTTTTTTTTTATTAAATACTGAATATAAATTTAGCAATATTTTATCAATTTTATGGTGACTTGTTTTGTCACTAGTTCAGGATTATTTGATGAATGTATTTGATTTCGCTTCAAAAACAGATCGGTCTGAATCTTCGTTGATTAATATGATGTCAAATTGTACATATAATTTCAGGTAATGAACATTGTGTGGATATATTAGCTGGAGACGCCAAAGCTACTGGTATATGGAGAGACAGGTCATGTGACACGCAAGCAGGATACGTATGTAAATACAGAAGAGGTATGTCATATCCGATGCCGTGACGTCACTGGTTCGACAGACGCAATAATTAATCAATAAGTGATAATCTAAGTATTAAGGCGCGCTGGTCGTCGCGCTACGCATGTGCGACATTTGTGTTGATAAACATTGATTTTCCCACAATCCAGTGCGCTCTTCAAATGGAAATCACAAGTATAAGGTTTGACCTGGGCGCGACTTGCACTGAATACCGCCGGTGACACTTTCGATACCTTCCAATCACCTAAATTAATTTTACATGTCACTGTGGTTACTGCACTCACAATGAGATGCAACCAGTTTACAACAAGCGCCCTCTAACGACAACGTGCTTATGTGACTTCACTGTGTGTAAGCGATGACGTCCAATTTGTTTGAACTGTAGCCAAGCGTCAATCACAATATTTTGGATATGTTAGATTACAAATGATAAGCGATTTTTCAGCTAAGAAGAGTTCCATATTAAAACGGCATTGCTTACGTACATCTACTGTGACGTCACAGAAGCGGTTCGGCGGAAGAGGACTTATAAATTACCTAATTAAACTTGGAAACGCCTTAGTTTGTACTCGTTGATCTGCGCAACAGTCAAAATCGCCATCTTTGTTTATATGAGACCCATATATTTCGCGCATGCGTGGCGCGACGACTACCTAGTTTTTATTTCCATCAAAGTTATTTTTGTCAACTAATTATGTTCAATTACATTTGCAATGATAACGAGAGATAAGTCAACTTTGGAGTGGTTATTTCAGCACCAAAACGTATGTTACTGTCATCTTGTTCAATTCAAGAGAATTTTCAAAACAAGTAACAATTGGTTTTTTTTTCAGATCACATTTTACAATCTACACAGCGCCCTCCCACGACTAATATAGGGCAAACCACAATGGCACAATTCACTACGGCTGTTGAAATCGCAACGTCACAACCACCGCCCACATCGTTAACATCGCCATCATCAACGGCAACAACAAAAACGACAACAACGAAACTGACAACATCAGAATCAATGAGTAAGTGGGCTTAGTGATCTCGGTCGAAATGATTTATGAGTTGTGTTATCTTTCACCAAATATTAATTTGTTTAAAGATATTGATCAATACCTGAAACCAATAAGAAAGTATGTCAATTTTGTTCAAAATCAACAAAGCATAAAAATATTTTCTCAAAATGTTGACTGAAACAATATGGCGCTAAATGGATAAGTGTTGGATCAATCTAGGAAGTCTTACAATATTAAGAAACTGAAAACATTAAATAACAATATATATATATATATTATTAAACCGTTATTAATTTTTGAAAGTATCTAATTATTAATAATTTGAATCTGAATTGATCGCATTTATGAATGAGATTTAGCATACTCCTATTTGCTATTGTCTATTTAGCTACAATACAGTATACCACACAAACTACAATAATTGTAGAATCGTCAACAAAGAAACAAACAACACCTGTCCAAAAAACAACGTTACTTTCGACATTGACTACTCCAATGGAGCTGATGACGTCACCTTCAAATACAATGCCACAAACGTCCACGGGTGAGTAAAAGTTTTGAGTATCTGGGTAATTAAAATGATTTCAATGGTCTAGTGTAGTTGTGGCCACTGATTGTGATATACACGGGTACGCTAGGTTTTGGACGAGAAACGTCTTAGTAATAACATTTAATTGTGATTTTGTCGAACTAATACTTTAGAAGTACGATACGGATTCAAAATAAAAGTACTGCCAGCTACCTTTAAATAACAGCGTTTGTGTTGTATTATTAATTTGAAGAAAGTTGCAGTGACTGTTACGACCGACTTTGTTAGATATATGGCCGATACTTAGACTTTGATAAAACGTTCTTTATTCTCAATATTTTGTCACTGATTTGCAGACAAATATAATCAATGATAAGTTATTATTACATATTAATTATTAAAGAAATTAAATTCAGGTGTCTACTACTTAACGCATCTTGAAACAATTTTAGTCGTGTGACTTCTTTTCATGTCATGCAATGAATAACATGTAATACTCAACTGTTGCTCTTTTTCAAACTCAGAAAAAGTAGAGGAAACGACCGTCCCGAGAATAGGCTCTGTTAAGATGACGTCATCGACTGGTAAGGCATCCGGTTGTAAAATGTCCCAGATTTTTTGTTAAAATGTATGAAAAACTTGTACCATCCCCGTTATCATACTACAATCACGTCTTTATACCAACTCTTCGAATTGTGAGAGTACGTGACAACTCTAATAATTAAGAAAATTAAAAAATATATATTAATACATTACATCCACAGTCTGTAACAATAATTGTGATGATTTAAGCTAAAATTGTGTTTTTGTTCAAATATTTTCAACCAGGCTATATATTAACATATATTTACTAATTAAGTAGAAAATTTAGTTTTCTACCATTTATTTGTATTTAACCTTTAAGTTACCAATACATGGTGTTTTAATTATTCTTGTGATTTATTCATTCACAACCAGTAACACTATCACGTGATGTACTGTCGACTACGACCAAGGGCACGACAGGTAAACCATTTCATCCTAATTTAATGAATGTCCCAACCCATAAGTGTTATGATTTGACACTATTTTGTAGTGAAGTTGGCGATTGTTCCCAGTTTGTATATGCACCTATAAAATATGCGGTACTGACTATGATGTCACAATTGTCGTCAGCATTTAATAAGATGCAACCAGTTTACAGTAAGCGCCCTCTAACGACAACGTGCTTTTGTGACGCCACTGTGTGTAAGCGATTTGTTTGATCTGTAACCAAGCGTCAAATACAAATACTGTTTTTGGATATGTTATATTACAAATGATGAACGACTTCTCAAGCAAGCATATTTCCATATTAAAACGGCATTGCTTATGTACAACTACGTCATTATTACGTCACAGAATCGGTTCGGCGGAAGAGGACTTATTGGAATAGTGTAAAATACTTATATTCCTATCACCTGCCTTGTAAAATCTATTCAAAATGTCGTCTCTAAATTCCCATTCAATATTTACTGCTTGACTGTTTTATTAGATGCGGAACTTCTATTTTGTGAAGACGATGTCTACAATGGTGTCCATTGGCCGGCGACTTTGTCATCACAGTCAGCAACAGTTTCGTGCCCTAGCAACCAATCAGGTAAGATATCTAACTCCGCGTATGGTCGAAAAATATAGTATATTTTGGTCCATGACCTCTCTGTCGTCAGTTTGCTGTTTCGTGTATGGAATATTTTCATATCGTTCTGAACTTCTCGCCTAACTATGTCGTTGAAATCCCTGTATACACTGTGTGTTGATAAACTTGTGCCAAGGCGAACATGAAACAAACAACTCACTTTTTGCTGTTGAGTAATATTTTTCACAAACTTTGGAATATACCAAATAGAACAGAATAGGAAAACAAACATTAAACAAACAAACATTTACCGATAAGATAACAGCTACAACTATTGGTGAATTGAGTACCTTCTAAAAACAATCATGTGTAAACTATCGCTAAACGTGGTAACCTGGTGTGTTACAATATATTATTCATGTTCCGGGCCATAGTTCGATATTATGTACACCACACTGGTCTTTGTCGTGAGAGTGAGCTGAATAAATTCTGAGAATGGAGAACAAATAAATCATCTATATATTAAAAATATTATTATTTTGTGCTCTTGCGCAGGTCACGTGTCCAGATATTGTGATTCTGACAATGGGACAGCCCGTTGGAGTTTACCAGACGAGTCAGACTGTCTACATTTGGAAGGGATCTTAGATGAGGTGGGAAACTAGTCAAGTGTATGCGTTGAGGGCGCTGTAGCAATTCCATTCGATGCTTTGTCACCATTTGTCGCACCTGACCAAAACCCTTATGTCTGAAGTCACTTCGTACCAGATAATTACTTCGCACCACTTGTAAACTAAAGTTAATATCTAAGCGAGAAGGTTATTTTTCATTAAGAAGAATATGTTGTTCATTAATAATATAGACTTGAAAATAAATAAGTTGAAATGGCCCTGGGTATTGCAACCACGAGGTACAACGTGGTCATGTGGTGCGAAATGACCGTGTGGTACAAAGTGACTTGAGACGAAATTTTGACTTTACGAAGTCAGATGGCCATAGCGTGTTTAAAAACAAGCGTCTACCCCGTGAGACAGCGTTTTAGCGTGTGTTGTTATCGTCGCTTGGAACTCAATTCCTGCGCGTGCGCAGGTGATGACCCTCCCGCTTTAAGCATAACTGATTTGTCAAGAGTGATCTTCAGATACGTCAAGTATGAGCTATTTTTCGTAATATTTCTAATACTGTTAGTTCGATTACAATCTTGCGCTTTAAGTTAACGTATTTACAGACATCGTGTCTAAAAATAGATTAGCCCAGTTCTGGAAAGTATATATACTTACCGTATGTTAAGAATACGTAAAGGTTATTTTAGTATCATTTGTGTTGACAGGAACAACTACTATATCAGCTGACTTTGTTCACAATCATTGCTACAAGTCTGACGTCATTCTTTGCTGTTGTTATAATCGTGGCATTCCCAATTCTCAGGTAATAGAGTTAAAGATGCAATATTGATGACAAAAAATGTAATTCTAAATACTGTTGTTGAATTGTGACGATTTGTCATGAAGTTATCTAATGCCCATGTGCTCTGGTTGTTTTGGTATCTGCAATAACAATTACTGCACATGCGTAGTAGGGTTTTCAATTTCCAACGAACGAATATTTGACAGTGCGATACAAAAGCTACAGTTTTCAGTTTACGATAAATCATAAACCATTTTGTTCTCAACGAGCGAGGATATTCAAAAATACATAAATCATTTTATAGATTAATTGGACATAAATCGCAATATTTACTCTGCCATTCTTTGGTGTACAGTACATGCTCACACAATGTTGCTATATTGTTGTGTTTATGTCAACGTATTATGGATTCCCGCATAAACTGTGAGTGTATGCTGCGATGCGTTGCACCACGTTACATTGCGATGGGTTGGATTATATGCAATGACCTTCTACTATGAGATCCATATCCCCAAACACTTAGTTCTATCTCAGACTAGTAATACAATACAATAGTCCGAGGTTCTATACTACACACACAAACACAAACACCAACATATTATAAAGTTGCAGACTTGAATTAATTTCTATATGCATACTTGGTACGCGTGACCCAGTACGCGTACCACGTGGTGTTGTGTGATTAATTGGTACGCGTGATCCGGTACGTGTACCACGTGACGAAGTGTGCTTACTTGGTACGCGTGATCCGGTACGTGTACTACCACGCGGTGGTGTGTACTTACTTTGAACGCGTGTATTTGCATGTTTCAAAATAAATTGTGAGATTGACAATACTCTCTTTTTTATTGCCTGACTGGTTACTGATACAGGTTATTGGGTTCCGCCAGCGTTGAAGTCGAATTCTCGTTAGCCGTCTCCATCTTACTCATCAATCTGACGCTCTTGATTGGATATCAGAGAGCACAAAATAAGGTAAAACAAAAGAAAATCCACAAAGTGTCGCAATTGGGCGCTCTTCATATTGCGCTGCGTTAATGCCCCCGTTTGTCTTATAGATTAGCTGTTTTAGTACACCGGGAATCAAATTTGTTACAGAAAATTCAATTAATAACAGCTTCCGTTTAATATTTGAATGGAATAGTGTTATTCACCACTGAGGTACACTAAGGGTCAGCGACCAGTTGCCATAGACAGTATCAACACACCTCGGTGATATTCAGAGAGCTTCATTAAAAATGGAATGTCCGATTGAAATGAAACTTCGAATAAGTGTTATTGAATAACAATCAAATCGATGTAAACATTATTTGCCCGCTTTCAAATAGGTTGAATAGAATAACTCGAAAACTTGAACTTGCTGTCAAATTTCTGCAATCCGGGTGTGTACGGGTTATGACGCATATACCACTTTAGTCTATCGATTCTGAGGTTTGGTCGTACATTTTCAAAAAGTCGTTTTAGTCGCGCGCGCCACGTACGTCGTGTGGTGAGCGTTCTGCCCGTATCCACGTAGTTGAAGTGCGCCCTCATAGTCCCTGCTAACTATAATCTTTATTTTCGTCACAGTTGGTGTGTACAATCGTAGCTGTTTTTCTACATTATTTGGTGACTACGCAGTTTCATTGGCTTACCATCCACGCATATAATACGTACGTCATGGTGACGACGTCGCGGCCATATTTGAGAAGACGCATTATTACGTACAGAGTGATTGGGTGGGGTAAGTGTCGATATCACTCCCTTCTGCATTAGTATGTACTCTTACTGTAGATTGGTTGCAGACTACGCGAAATTACATGTGATACGCATGCTCGACCAAATTGACATGCATGCTCCGCCAACGTGACATGCATGCTCCGCCAACGTGACATGCATGCTCCGCCAACCCTGTAATGTATAAAGTCGTCTTAACAATTCTGAAGTTACAACAAGTGCGTTTTTAATCATAAGTGCCTTCTGTATTTGGAATTAATCATCTAGAGAGGAGGGCTAAACAAAATACATGAGTCAGAGAAATACTAACTATGAATTGTTCGTACTCAGAGTAATAATCATAGAATAATACCAAGTATTATGTTCTATCGCAGTGTGTTCTGCCGTAGTACCTATTATAAGTGCTGGCATATACTACGATGATTACGGCGATGCATTAAGGTCGGTGTTATTCATTTGATTACTAAATGCCATAAGAGAAAATCAAAACGAATAAACCGCGATTAAAGTAGTAATATATGAACCCTAAACACACGGTGATAAAAGTCTGGAATTATACACTGAAATTAATGAATAGTACACATGAGCCCACATTAGCATAATTACCCCCTCGAAAACGTGATGGCATTTCTAGTCGGCGCGGTAAAATAGATCAGTCATGAACGACAGCTTTTACAAATTTGCCCTTGAAAGCAATTCAATGTTACATAATAAAATTGTGACGGATATGCACTTTTAGGCATAATGGTTGCAAAGATGCAAAATATTAAGTCAAAGGTCGTCTTCATGGGGTTCGTATATGGTCTAAACTCCCAAAACGGGCTACACTGAAATAGATGTATACAAACCTAGTTACCGAATCATACTTTCATCCCTGGCAGGTGTTTTCCATCGGGTATTGTGACGTACATTATGCTGGCTTCATTTGGACTACTTGTTTTGGTAAGTAATACGTAATATCATTTGTAATAAGTAATGAATGCTAAATATTGTCGTGTCATGATTATATCTATAATTATTGGTATGGAATTATACTCATTATGTTTGTGCTTGTAAATATTCGTAGTGAAACAATGAACTGATTGAATACAAATGTTGTTTTCTTTAAAACATAATATATGTATCAATAAATCGTTAATAAACAAATAAATAAATGTAATATGATGAAACTAGATGTTTCAAACTGTTTGAATATTTTAGGTGGATTTGTTTTTCTTGGGTTATGCTACAAAACAGTTCTCATTGTCGAATGACGAGCCCCGTGGACCTGTGACAAAAGCAAGGTACGCTAAATTGAGATATTAAAGCGTGTTCCTCTTAGTTACAATGCCATCGAGTGACATTCAATATCCCTCTAGCCCGACATATAACGAACGAACCTCACATACTAACCTCACATACTAACCTCACATACTAACCTCACATACTAACCTCACATACTAACATCACATACTAACCTCACATACTAACCTCACATACTAACCTCACATACGAACCTCATATACTAACCTCACATACAAAGCTCACATGATAGTTTTAAAGTCGAGGCATATTTTAATGTTTATCAGAACTGGGTAATCAAAGTTTCTTCGCCCCCGTACGCACCTTTTCTCGTTTGTCGCGTTACCGGAAGTGGATTTTTTTAACAGTGCGTACTATGTATACAGTATTTTTTACTACGAGATGGTCACAATGATTTGAAAATTGGGTGGTCCGAAAATGGGTGTGATCTGTACTTCCAACGACTTCCATTTTGGCGTACCACACAAGTCCAGTTCAGTTTTTCTGTAAATATAATTGTTATGGGAACCACCATTGTGTAATATTTGATATTTCCAATATGTTTTTCTATTTCAGAGATAAATTAAAAGTCAATCTGTTATTACTGGTACTATTTACTATGGAGTGGACGTTTGGAATATTATCTTTTACTCTACTACAATATCCAGTGCAATATCTATTCGCTATGGCCATGCTGTGTATTGTACGTTTTTATTACTAAATCATTCACAATTAAAGAGATAATAGGATAATTTAAAATATTTATGATAATGTTCACGATAATTTTGCTTGATACTGTATCTTGGTTAAACAATGACATCATTAGAAAAGTGTTATTATGCGTCCGCTTAAAATTAAATGTAATTAATTCATTACTTCATAGAACAAATACTGCTAAATTTGCTGCCAAAACAAAGTTGTCATCTCACGATAATCATACACCGGTGTTTCTATCATCATCATAGAGTATCAAACACGGGAATTTGTTATCTACATTATTTAGTTTGATATGCAAGTCGTTTTGGTCTCGCCAGTACAGTATGCGTAAATGAAAATACTAGTATCAGCGTAAATTATGCACATAACGCCCTACTATTTCAATATCGCCCGGGTGGTTATTTATGATACTGATATGGGCTAGCCGAAATTAGCTTTAATAGGAAAGTAGCAACACATTTGTTTGTTCACTGCATGAAAACTTTAATAAACGAGATAATTCTATAATTCATATTCAGGGACCTTGTATGATTGTACCGTTTCTCACATCAGACGAAGTTCGAGAGAAGGTGGCGAATTGGATGATGGATAAAAAAGAAACTACTAGGAACGAGGTAATATGAACCCAGATAACAACCACAATACCAACACTACCTAACTCTTCAGCGCATTGTGTTCTTTAGTATAAAACACAAATTATCCCCGCATATGAATGTCAGTAACTCCTAAACTAATAAAAATCTTCACCCAGTAAAGCATTAAGTATTTATATATATTTCTGATTTTCAGAATGAGTTAACAGAAACATTTAAAGCAATATTCAACGATTCGACACATGGTGAAATGACGCGACATAATACGCGACTCGCTGCATTTAACAGCAGACGTGTAGCGTACCAGGAAACGTCATTCTCGCTGAATGGTAAACGTAGAGGGCGATGTAAAAAATTAAATATGGGGGTTCAAGGAGAGAAGAAGAGATCCCAAACCTGTAGATCTAATCACGTGGTACATCGTGATATGTGCGTGAGTATTATTTCTATTTATTTATAATTAATATTCATAATCATGTAAACAACGACGACAATTGTGTTTCTATCAATTTTTATATGGACTCTATGGATATAAAATACGATTGAAAAAACGTCAAAGATTGGAAGTGTTTAATTATTCTTGCGTGTTTCATATATTGATATTTTAATTTAATAACTATTTCATGTGTCATTTTATTAATGAGAATTATAATATTATGACATGAACGCATATTAAATGTTAGTTTACACGTCTAATGAGAGACAATGTGTACAACCTTACTAGCGATATTGTATATTGGTAATGGATTCCAGCACGTTGGAAACAAATAGACAAAATTAGCGAAAGTTATTTTATATTTTAATGCAAGGATGTAATTTGATGACGTTATTTCTAGGAACGTGGTGGACCTCTTTTTGTCAAACGAAATTTTGGAAAGGTACAACCTCCAGCGGTGAGAGTAAGTCGTCAAATTATTAATAATAACTTAAAGGGGCACCTTCCAGTTAAGATTAATTTTACAACAAGTTTGCTTTCTGGGTTAAAATAACAATGGATAACAAAAGATAGATTAACATTGTAAACAACATAAACAATAGTGTCCCATGATTCTTTGGTGCAATCCATGGGATTGAGCGGTTCCCCTTTAAAGCGGGAGGGTCGTCAATTGAGTCCCAAGCGACGATAACAACACACGCTAAAACGCAAAGGCTCATGGGTAGACGCTCGTTTGTAAAGAATTACACGCTATGACCATCTGACGCATGCGCAGCTGACGACTCCCCGCTTTAACAAAAGAGTGCACAGTGACCTGTTGGCAAGAACTAGTTGTTCGCTGCTGTTGTTTTTATATATGCATGTATGGTTCTAGCCAATAAGATCACGAGCTTGTGCTGATCAGTGAGCGACATTTGTCATCAGACATGCGCAGAATGGTTGGCAAAGACGTCACAGTACACACGTTTAAATAAGTGATACTTGTAATATTACTTCTCCTCCAATCTCTCTGTGTGAATTTACTTTATCCAAAATATTGTATATTAATTATTTTCATAACATTGCACACATTGCAGGTACGAAGTGTAAAAAAGATATCGCCTATGACGTCAGAGTCCGTCAATGTACAAACGGATGAACTGACCTGTACGCACCAGCATAATAAAGAACATCCACCAAAGATAAAAACAAAAGCAAGAGACAACATGCCTATTGATGGCGCTTTCTTGAAAGAAAAAAGAAAGGCTTCTTTAAACAATAAAAGTGGCAACCATAGCCCACAGAATAAAACTTGCGCAGATTCAGAAAGTTTACCTGGAAACTCCCTCAAAGTTAAATACCCGACACCTGCTGATGCGGAATTATTAAAGGAAGTGACGTCACGCTTAACAAGAACAATGACATGCCCGTTGTACCAAGTAATGACTCCAAGAAGTATCTCTGAAATGTCACATGACTCGGGATTTTCGACTAGTTCAACCAAGAAACGAGAAATGCTTCAAATTGATATGCATTCCATTTAAAGCAGACCAGAAAATGTTATAAAGTAAACTATAAATGTACTATAAATGTAAACTATAAACGATACCAGCAATCCCAGAAGTATCATTTAGTACGTTTTTGTTTATCACATACTTTATGTTAATAAATGTTATTAACTTGTTTTATCTCTTTGGTGTATTCATTTCTGTTGGTGCTACATTCACATGTATGGAGTGTGGATGATTTTTTATTCCACTTTAGAATGTCAAAGATCATATGGCGGCAGTCGTCTTGCCGCGTCCTGTTCGATATGGGACTCATAGCGACATATACAACGCGTGTAAAATACATTGTTTATTTACGACGACCACCGCGCTTCATATATCACAATACTTCTACTTTAGAATGTCAAAGGTCATCTCTCAAAATATTTCCACTTTAGTATGTCAAAGGTCATCTATCACAATACTTCCACTTCAGAATGTGAAAGGTTATCTAACACAATATTTCTGCTTTAGTATGTCAAAGGTCATCTATCACAATAATTCCACTTTAGACTGTTAAAGGTTATCTATCACAATACTTCCACTTTAGAATGTCAAAGGTCATCTATCACAATACTGCCACTTTAGAATGTCAAAGGTCATCTATCACAATACTGCCACTTTAGAATGTCAAAGGATATCTATCGCAATACTGCCACTTTAGAATGTCAAAGGTCATCTATCACAATACATCCACTTTAGAATGTCAAAGGTTATCTATCACAATACTGCCACTTTAGAATGTCAAAGGTTATCTATCACAATACTGCCACTTTAGAATGCCAAATGATATATATCAAAATACTTCCACTTTAGAATGTCAAAGGTCATCTATCACAATATTGCCACTTTAGAATGTCGAAGGTCATCTATCACAATACTGCCACTTTAGAATGTCAAAAGATATCTATCACAATACTGCCACTTTAGAATGTCAAAGGTCATCTATCACAATACATCCACTTTAGAATGTCAAAGGTTATCTATCACAATACTGTCACTTTAGAATGTCAAAGGTCATCTATCACAATACATCCACTTTAGAATGTCAAAGGTTATCTATCACAATACTGCCACTTTAGAGTGTCAAAGGTTATCTATCACAATACTGCCACTTTGGAATGCCAAAGGTTATCTATCAAAATACTGCCACTTTAGAATATCAAAGGTCTTCTATCACAATACTGCCACTTTAGAATGCCAAAGGTTATCTATCAAAATACTTCCACTTTAGAATGTCAAAGGTCATCTATCACAATATTGCCACTTTAGAATGTCGAAGGTCATCTATCACAATACTGCCACTTTAGAATGTCAAAAGAT